CCGGCTCAGGCCCGACGCCGAGTTTCCGAGGTCTCCTGCGCTGCGCTCTCACCCAGGGGCCTCCAGGGCCGCCCGGGGTGCTTGGGGGCCGGGGGTGCGCTGCGCGCGGGCTGGCTCGGCCCGGCCCCAGCCGTGCCTGCTCCCTGCAGAGGAGCCGGTGGAGGAGGTGGGCGACGGACTGGTCGAGGACCCGGACGCGCCCATCGAGGGACGCACCGGCGACGAGAAGTTCCAACCCTTCTTCAACGAGAAGACCTTTGGCGCCGGGGAGGCAGGTCAGGCGGCAGGGGCGGCGGGGGCGGCGCGGGGCGCGGGGTACAGCTCGGCCCCTCACACCCGGCTTGCTGTGCAGACTGTGGGCTGCGGCCTCTGTTCGAGAAGAGGTTGGTGAAGGACAAAACGGAACACGAGCTTCTGGATTCCTACATCGACGGGCGCATCGTGGAGGGTTCGGACGCGGAGATTGGCCTCGCGCCCTGGTGCGTCGTGGGGGTGGCCCCCCGGGGTCTCCTTCTGGGGCCGCCCTTCCCTCACAGGCCTGGGCTTCCCAGATGGTGATAGCGGCACCTCTCTGAGATTAGGGGTGTTGCTTCTCACATGCAGAAGGCGAAGCTGAGGCCCAGAGAGCTTAAGGGGTCTGACCCAGGAGCTATGCCAGGCTGTGCAAATTCTGGACCTGCAGAAGCTGGGGAGGGGTGCAGAAAGCAGGAGGCAGCCCCTCGGTGTCATGTGGAGGCCCCCGTCGGCCAGGGCAGCCAGGTCAAGCTGGGGTCTGGGCCCAGCAGGCACCTCTGTCCTATGCTTAAACCTGGGACTTTCTACTTTAGGGGAGGTGCAGGGGCAGCCAGCCCCCCAGCTCCTCACCCTTCCCACTCCCTCTCCCAGGCAGGTGATGCTATTCCGGAAGAGTCCCCAGGAGCTGCTCTGTGGGGCCAGCCTCATCAGTGACCGCTGGGTCCTCACGGCTGCCCACTGTCTTCTGTACCCACCTTGGGACAAGAACTTCACCGAGAATGACCTTCTGGTGCGCATTGGCAAGCACTCCCGCACCAGGTACGGACCAGGGGATGTCTGGCAGGGGTCAGAGTCCTCCAGAGTGACTGGGAGGGCTCTGGTGGCTCTGGGGGGATATGTCTGTACATGTCCCACAGTAGAAAACCCAGCAGTCTCTGCTGGAAAGGCCATTTGGCCATGTCTGGACTGAGGCTTGGAGCCGGGGAAAGAGAAACTGAGACTTTGCAGGGGGTGAAATCCTGGCCCACCCCTAGCTCCTCTGCAGGCACCAGCAAGCCACCCAGGTGTGAGCTCTGAAGGGAGGCTGTTTGGACCAGGGCTCCGGCCTGCGCTCCTCCCCCACCTGCCGGGGCTCTCTGACTCGGAAGCCCAGAACAGCTTTAAGCCTGCAGACGCTGTCAGGGCAGGAGGCAGCCCTCTCCCCGCAAGGGTGGCCCAAGGGTCACCCCAATTCCTGGACCCTGAGGGCAGGCAGGAACTGGCTGCCCTTCACCAGGTGGCTTACAGCTTCCCCCGTCTCCCTGTTTGCACAGGTATGAGCGAAGCATTGAGAAGATCTCCATGCTGGAAAAGATCTACATCCACCCCAGGTACAACTGGAGGGAGAACTTGGACCGCGACATAGCCTTGATGAGGCTCAAGAAGCCCATCACCTTCAGCAACTACATCCACCCTGTGTGCCTGCCTGACAAGGAAACCGCAATCAGGTGGGTGCTGGGGGAGGAGGGGTGCGAGGAGGGGGCGAGTGGTGGCCCTGGGCTGGGTTCTGGGTTCTGGGTCCGATAGACACTCCCCTTTCCAGGCCTGGGTGGGGTGGGTTGGGGAGGCTTGGAGTAAACCCAGAAATTCTATCTGCGCCAGTGTTTGAGATTCTGGTCTCCAAGGGACAGTGTTGGGGCCAGGTGTTGGTGGGACTTCTGGAGGTGTTGGTGCTCACGAAGTCCTTCTTCCTTCACCCCCAAAGACTGCTCCGCGCCGGATACAAAGGGCGGGTGACTGGCTGGGGCAACTTGAAGGAGATGTGGATGTCCAACGTTGCCGAGGTGCAGCCCAGTGTCCTGCAGGTGGTGAACCTGCCCATTGTGGAGCGGCCGGTGTGCAAGGCCTCCACTCGGATCCGCATCACCGACAACATGTTTTGTGCTGGCAAGTGCCTGGGGCATGTCTGGGCCCCGGCTGGGGTGGTGGGAGGGCAGGAGGATTGAGACATGTGAAGGGTGCAGACCCGTTCAAGTCCTGAATCTGGTCACTTATAAGCCAAATGGCTTTGGGCAAAGTTGCATAACCTCATGGAGGCTCAGTTTCTTCCTCTCTAAAATGGAGTTGCAAGTCTCTGTCCCATGAGGTTGGGTGAGGGCTAAATGAGATAGTATGTATATAGTAAGGTGCTAGGCATGGTGGTAGTCACTGGTTACGTTGTCGATCCGTGTGAGTCCAGATAGCAGCATGAGGCCATGGGTGGGGGGAAAGCCTTGTTCCTTCCTTCAGTCATTCAGCAAATATTTATTGAATGCCTTTTGTGATCAGTATTTACCCCAAGGACCCACCCAATGCCTGTGTCCTCACAGAACTTCCTTCCTAGGAGGGAGTGTCCATAAACAGATGTAGAATCTAGCAGAAAAAAAAATGAAGCAAAGTAAGGGGGAGAGAGAGAGATGGGGACAAGGCAGTCTAAAAAGAGTGGTTGGACAAGGTTAGAGAAGGTCTCTCTGAGAAGAGACTAGAAGTGAAGAAGTGAGCTAGTCTAGGACAAGTGCACTCCAGGGTGAGGGAGAGCAGATGTAAAGGCCCTGGGGTGGGTGCCTGCTTAGGGTGTCTGAGGAACAGCAGTGTGGCTGGAGTGCAGTAAACACAGGCAGGGCAGCAGATGAGGGGAGGGAGGTGGGCTAGGCAGAGGATAGGCAGTTCTTTTAGGGTCTTGAGGGACTTTGGTTTTTATTGAGACGGAATTTTGGAGGGTTTGGGGGGGTAAATAGATGGTCTAAATTAAAAATTTTTAGTATGGGGCTCCTGGCTGGCTCAGTTGGTGGAACATGGGACTCTTGATCTTAGGGTCGTGAGTTCAAGTCCCATGTTGGGCGTAGAGCTTACTTAAAGAAGTTTTTTCTTAGTATAATTTCGGACTCACAGAAAAGTTGCAAAAATAATATAAAAATTCCTGTATATTGTCATCCAGATTCTGTCCCTGCACTTTGTGTTTATTGACATACACACATAATAGACACACGCTGTTTGAGAGTGAATTGTACATATGCCTTGTTACCCACGTACATGAGTCTATCCAGACAAGAATGTTCTTACATAGCAAGTGAGCAGTTGTTAAAATCAAGAAGTTAATGATACTATACCGTTATCTAATCTATAGACCTATTCCAGTGTTTTCCAGTTGTCCTACTTATTAATGTCTTCTGTAGCAAAGGGGAAAAAAGTGTTCTCATCTGGATCCAGTCCAGGATCACACATTGCCTGTAGTCGTCAGTCCTCCTTCTTTGTCTTCCATGACTTTGACAGGTTTCCTAAGTGCAGCCCAGTGAGCCTGTCGCTTGGCCCTCAGTTTGATTTGTCTAAGGTTTTGGTTTCCTTGTGATCACATTCAGGCCAAGTGAGGTTGTGTCCTTCTAAGGGAAGGCCCATGATGTCCATTTGTCCATATGTCTCACCATAACTGGGGAGATTAACTCTGACCTCTTGGTTAAGGTGGTGTCTGCATCTGGTGGGTTTCTTGCTGTGAGGTTTTGTTTGTAAGTATCTTGTGGGGAGCAGCTTTGACCCTCTGCATCCTGTTTCCCATCAAACCGTCCTCCCAGCTCTGGGAGCTGCCAAATGGTGATTTTCTAATTCTGTCATTCCTTCTATGTTTATTGTGGTTTCATTGGAAGGAAGACCTCTCCTTTCTTTCATTCTATCAGTGTGGACTCACGGGTCTTTATTCTAAGAGTTATAATCTGCTACTATCATCATTTATTTTGATTTTCAAATTATCCAGGTTTGGCCAGTGGGAGTACCCTCAGCCTGGCTTCTGTGACTTTTGATGTCCCTGTCATTCCCTGAGTACCTTCTTACACTGGCACAGCAAGATGGTCTGCACTTCCCTGCTAGTGGAGAATGGTGTTTAGAAGCCACGATCTGGGTGCTATGTGTGCACATTGCTATTGGGGTGTTACTGCTTCTGCGTCCTCTCAGCAGACAGATCTAGAAAATATGTGTACGATGCATACGGTGACATCTAGATCGATTTTTCTTTCTGTCATTTATCAGTTTCTCTATCTGAAACCTCCCACTGCAATCCAGCAGGATTAATTTTAGCTTCTCCTTTTCCATATTTGTAACTCTATTGACAATGAGAAACTGGACTCCTGTTATTCATCATATAGTAACTTATTGGATCGTTACTAGAATACATTGTTTCAGAATCACCCATCCATCTCACTGTGAGAAACAATCCTCCTCACTGGTGTTTAGCATTTCTTCACAGAGTTTCTGTCTTTAGCACGTCTGTACCTAGTTGAAATGCTGTGTTCAAAAGGAACTTGGGTTAGTTCTCCCCCGCCCCCCCTTTGCTGTGTTATTTATTTAAAATAGAGTTAGGCTAAGTTGTTTCTGATTGTATTCAATTTGGGGTCCCCCCTCCCATCTTCGTTGTTTTTATTTATTTTTGGAGTATTAACATGGGTCTAAAACTCAGACCCTTTAAAACAGGTATACTTGGAGAAGTGACACTCTCTTTTCCTTTCTATCCTTTTGCTACCCCCCATCCTTTCTACTCCATTTCCATCTGGGCTCTACAGTCAACCAGTCTCAGTAGTTTGTGGGTTTTTTCTTCCTGTATTTCCTTTTGCACAAATGAGCTGACTCCATTTCCATCTAGGCTCTATAGTCAACCAGTCTCAGTAGTTTGTGGGTTTTTTTTTTTTTCTTCCTGTATTTCCTTTTGCACAAATGAGCTTACACACACATATATTTTATCCCCCCCCCTTTTTTAAAGATTTTATTTACTTATTTGACAGAGAGAGACACAGCAAGAGAAGGGAACACAAGCAGGGGGAGTGGGAGAGGGAGAAGCAGGCTTCCCGCGGAACAGGGAGCCGATGTGGGGCTCGATCCCAGGACCCTGGGATCATGACCTGAGTCGAAGGCAGACGCCCAACGACTGAGCCACCCAGGAGCCCCTGTTTTTTGTTCTCATTAACCTGATATACCTTTGTCCATCCCATTACTTTTAGCCTCTATGAATCACTTTGTCTCTTATATCTAGCATAGTTGGGTCTTGCTTTTTGTGAGGCAAACTAAAAATCTTTTTCTTTTTTAATAGGTGAGTTAAGCCCATTCATATTTATTGATATGATTGAATTAATATTCATATTATTTTGTAATTATTACATGTATTATGTTTCATTTGCTCTGTTTTTTCCCTATGCGATCTTTTCTTTGTGTTTTTAAATTTATATGTTTAGGAAGGTTTGCATTTTTGGTCTAATGATTATCTTTGGGCTTCTACCTTTCTGAAATGCCCTTAGTTCCTTTTATATTTATGACCTTTTAATTGTTAACTCCGACCTATTGTCTATACAGCAGTCAGGGAGTTTACTTTCCTCTTTCAAGATCTTCTTTGATATTTTTAGATGCATTTTTTTCTACTTGTCAGAACAGTTAATCAGTCCTTTTGCTGAAGCTTTCATCTCTTGGTTGGATGAAGCTTGCCGTTTAGTAGATGCTTCAACAACTGTTATGGGTGTAGAATTTCCTGTTTTTATGTGTTTACAATTGTTTTTCTGTTGTCTTGACACCTTAAGCTCTGCTTGACTGCATATAAAATCCATGGCTTACATTTCCTTCAATTAAAAAAAAATATGGCTTTGTTGTTACTTACTTTGTTGTTTTCGAAAAATCAGATGCTGGTGTAATTCTTTGGAACTTGTAAGGTATTTGGTCTCTTGTGCTTGGAAGTCTTGAGGGCTTTTTCCTTCATCTTTGAAGTTTTATTGGGCTCTGTCTCAGAGTGGAGTGTTTCAGGTCAGTTTTGTCAGCTACCTCGTGTGGCTCCTTTCAACATACCTTCAATCTTATTTTATTTCTGTTAAGTTTTCTTGGATTATGTCATAAATATTAGTTTTGTTCCATGGTTTTATTTTTCTTTTTGAGAGGTTCAGATTTCTTCTTTGGTCTGAATTCCATTTCAATCCCTTTCTGCTTTGCATTTCTTCCTATTGTTTTGTCCATTTATTTTTAATTTTTGGATTTCTGATTCAAGGCGTTTTGTTACATTGTACAAATCGGCTTGAGGAAATTTAATTCAGTTATAGTTTTCTTCTGTTTCATGGTTGTGTTTTGGGGGAGAATTTCTGTTAGCTGTTTCTTAGTCTTGTTTTTTTGTTTTCCTATAGTATCTTGGTATGGATCTATTTAGTTTCATTCATTTTGTAGATTTGGGGTCATTTACAAGATTCCAATTCAACTGCACCCACTTCTTTTTTCTAGTGGATATGTACGGTCTCATCGCCACATAAGTGTTAATATTAGATGCACAATTAAATATATTGATTTGAAGTTTGGGTGGTCTCTGTATTCCAGTGCTGATGGTGACTGTGTGTGTGTAGCTTTTGTTGTTCTTCATGTTCCTTATTGTTTATGGAGGGCATGTGGGGAGATTCTGGGTAAAGGCAACTGCCATTATCCTCAGGCCACCTGTGGGTCTAACGTATTTTTAAGTCCTTCTGCCTGTTGGGTAGTGAATGGATTGTAGGTGGGGGGAAGTAGAATTTGGGGACAGTAGTTCAGGGGAGAGCTACATGTAATGTGATGAGGGGTGGAAGCGGTGACAAGTGGCTAGGCTGGGATGCATGTTGAAGATGGAGCTGAGAGGCCATGCTGAAGGATTGCATGGGGGGGTAAGAAAATGGGGAGTGAAGGAGGACCCCAAAGGGTCAAGTGGACACTCGCCACCTAGGTCTCTTCAAGGGGAGTGGTGGGAGCGTGAGCTGTGCGTCTAAGCACTGCTGTTCTCTCCGCAGGCTTCAAGCCCAGTGAAGGGAAACGAGGGGATGCCTGTGAAGGCGACAGTGGGGGGCCCTTTGTCATGAAGGTAAGCGTGGGGCTAAAGGCTAGGAGGGTGGGTAGGCCTTCCGGGGGCTGGGGGGGAGTTAGGAGGGACTGTTTTCAGAAATAGTTGCCTGACAGGGTGCCGCTGCCATGCCTTGGACTCACCCTCTTGGAAACCCCATGTTTCTTCCTCAGAGCCCCTTTAACAACCGCTGGTATCAAATGGGCATCGTGTCATGGGGTGAAGGCTGTGACAGGGATGGAAAATATGGCTTCTACACACACGTGTTCCGCCTGAAGAAGTGGATACAGAAGGTCATTGATCAGTCTGGAAGTTAGCGGGCTGCTCACATTCTAGGCTCCTCACTGCAAAATCACAGAAACCAATCCAGCAGAATTATTTTTGTGGTTTGTTCCGAAAACTATATAGTTCTCAATAAAAGTGCCGGTCAACAAGCCTCCGTGCTCCCGTTGTGTTCGTGGGCAGCTCAGAGCCAGTGCGACTGGAGGAACAGGACTTAGCGAGCCCACCACTCCTAGAACGGGGGGCAGGTGACGGGGAGGTGGCGGCCTGAGGGGCTGAGCACTGAAAATGCTCCACACTTGGGGCTTCATGGGTTCCCTCGTGTAATGCTCCTGAGAGGTAGGTCAGGAGATGGACTAGGAGTATCTTGTCCAAGGTCACACAGCTGAGAAGGGTTAAGGTTGGACTTGAAACAGAAGATACTGAAGCCTGGGCTTTCAGTCGCTCTGCTGTTGGGGCGCAAAGGTGCTCGTCCCGGGACCAGAGATGAGGCAGAGGGAACAGACCAGAGCAAGGAGGGGTAAGTAGGTACATCTTTACCTCTGACTTTCCTAGTTAAGTCCCTATATCCTTCCACATACCATTAAAGTGACATCAGATTTAATGCCCCCCAAAGGCTCAGTATTTTAAGTGCCTTCATCTGGGAGTATTGTGGGATAGGGTGGTTAGGAGCATGGGCCCCAGCGTCAGACTGCCTGGCTTCCTAGTCTGGCGACACCCTTACAAGGGAGAACCACGACTGACCTCCACGAGCCGGTTTGCTTACGTAGAAGGTATGAGGCCATTCCTTACCTAATCCGGCCGTGAGGATGAGATGAGGTCATGCGCAGCGTGTACTTAGCAGGAAGCCCAGGAGCCGGTACGCGGTCCCCGAGTCACCGCCGCTTTCATTCCCCTGCTGCCTGGCGCAAGGTCCCTCTGCCACTCCCCTCCGGCCCCTACCAGGAGCACGTGGGTGCGGTGCCTGCTTCCCGGACTTTCTAGTCCCATACGAGTTACAGGCTCGAGCAACTGGCTTCTCTAAGAAATGGGACCTAGAGCTGCCCTGTGGCCGCCCGTTCTTTAAGATCGCTGCTGGCAGAGGTCAGCGGTCCAGGCTGGAGTGCTCTGACACATTCCCTTCCGCGGGGCGCCACCATCTTCCCAGCTGCCCCTGCCTCCGGGGCATTTGTGACTCGGGAGCTGGGCACCGCAGCCCGCGACCGGCGCCACGCTGACCCCAACTGGCGCGGCCTGCGGATTGCTGGATGATTCTCGGCAGGACCGTGGCCAAGTCTCATGCCTGAGTCCGGGGGTGAGGCAGGGAAAGAGCATGGCCGCCACCCCGCTTACCACGCTTGGCCGCGAATCTTCGACGAAGATCTTTAAACTTCATGGTGTGAAGTGGGAAGGGACCGAAGGTAGGCACTTTTACCCACTTCCCTCCCCATTTTTCAGTACATCAAGGGACAGAGAACTGGGACTGAGTTCTTGGCCCTCGTTGTTTGGTTCTGGTTGACCAGGAAGTAGGGTAAAAACTGGGAGTTCCAGGGGCGCCTGGGTGGCTCAGTTGGTTAAGCAACTGCCTTCGGCTCAGGTCATGATCCCGGAGTCCCGGGATCGAGTCCCACATCAGGCTCCCTGCTCAGCAGGGAGTCTGCTTCTCCCTCTGACCCTCCTCCCTCTCATGCTCTCTGTCTCTCATTCTCTCTCTCGCAAATAAATAAAAAAAATCTTAAAAAAACAAAAAAAAAACAAAAAAAAAAAACCTGGGAGTTCCGTGAGTTTGCAGGACCTTGGCAGCCCAGAGCTCTCACCAGAGTGGGGAAGGGATTAAGAATTAGAATATCCCAATTGTGCTTTTGAAACCAGGGTTCACATTCTCAAGACTGCTTCCCTCCAACAGAGCTGTAAGACCCGAGCAGAGCCACTCTGTTTTCCAAATGCTTCGTCCCAGCCCAGCAGCGACCGAACTCTCCGTCTCCTTTCCAGGGAATGCCCACTCCCCCGGCCCCGCTGCAGGGGCGAGAGGGAAGTGTGATTTCAGGCAGCGCAGGGCCCATCTGAAAAGCTCGACTAGAACAGAGGATTCACTTTCTGTCAACCTTTCATTTCTTGAGCGCCGGCTGGGTAAAAGATCGTCTAGAAGAATTCCTTGACCCTCCTGGCTGCCCAGAAAATCACCCATCTGAATCCAGAGCCTCTCGGTACTAACGGGTTTTTCTGACCGTGGAGGGAGACCCTGGCGAATTTATTCTGGAGGCGACTCCTCTGTTCACTTTCCAGTCCTCACTTAGCCTGAACGGGAAGCAGCTATGGGTCTAGACTCAGAGGGGAACCGAAAAGCAGGCGGGAAGCTCCTTCGGTCAGAGGCCCCCGAGTCCAGTCCCCGTGCGGAGAGCACTGCAGCCTGGCCCGTCCTGGGCCCCAGCTCACTGCAACGTGGCAGGAAGCCCGAGGGCTCCCTGGCACCGCAGTGCTGATGGGAGGGAAGTCGTGACCAGGACCTCAAGATGGGGAAGACAGGGACTGCTCCGTTCCCCGCCCCCCCCCCAGGAGCTGCTCCTGTTCCAGGGGAGCAGAAGCACGAGTCTGTGCGCCCCGACAAGGCCGTGCTCCTCAGGGGGTACCTCTTCCGCTTCCGCTGGCTGGGTGGCTAGCCGGTCCCAAGGACACGTGACAGAGAGCTGCCCAGGTATGGAGCATCTTGGGAGACCGTTCTAGTTAATGCAAACTTTATTTATAAAAGACTCTTAAATTAGTTGTATCATGCCATGCATTCATACAGAATACAGTGACCCTTCAGGGCTACGGGGAGAGGAGCTCACAAACTCAAAGGAGAACTATTAAAGAGTTTCTAATAGTGAAAAGCTAGGAAAGATCGGGACGACTTTACAAATGAGCAGTTAAAAATAAAAGACAAAGGCTGTGGAGACTAGTCGGAGCCGAGAGGAGGGCAGCTGTTGACAAGTCTGTGCACTAAACTACGACACGGACAGTCGGCTAGAGGCAGGGCGCCGGCGGAGAAGCAGTACGGACAGAGGCCCGCGCCCCGCCGGTCCGAGCACCGGGCCCGCCGAGCCCCTGCCGCGAGGGGGACGCCGAGTTTAGTGACCTAGAGCTGCGGGGCGCGGGCCGGGGGCGGCTTCACTTGCGACTGCTCTTTATCCTCTCCAGTCTCTTTTTCAAGTCGTCAATGTTCGCTGTGGAGGACGAGGACGTGGTCACGGTTCCGGCAGAGTGAGTGTGGTTAGAATCCAGGTCCGAGTGCTGGTGCTGCTCCCGGGACTCCCGGAGCTGAGAGAGTTTGCTGTGCAGCATGTCGGTGGAAGAGGCGACCGGGGGGGCTGCTGGCTTGGAGAGCAGGGAGGTCAGCGGGGGCCGCTCGTCTTGCTGCGGACAGAAGGAGACACAGCGGCAGAGCAGGTCAGGCCGCAGCTCGGGGAGAGCGGGCCGGCCTGGCCCTGCCCCACACGGGAGGGAAGGAGCGCTACCTTTGTGTTGTCCAGACCACACCGCTGGCGGAGGATCTTGAGCCTTTCCAGGTAGACAGACGGTCCCACCTCTTCTCCGTTGGTGTTCCCTATGGAGGACACCGTGCTTGGGGGGGCGGGCATACATGTGACCTCCATCTGCGGGGAGATGCCTGGAGAGGAGATGGGGAGAGGACACTCCAATGCACATACGTCCCACTTCCAGACCGCCCGGGCTCATCTTGTCGCCACAGGGAACGATTTGGGGCTTGGATATCACCACTGTAAAGACTAAAAAATCCACCAGAGTCCCATCTGGAGTTGGTGATAAAGGGTGCTCTGAATTATACACGATAAGCTGAGCAAGAACTTCAAGAAACAATAGAGCAGAGCGTAAGCTGGGCTGCCCGCCCACATCCTGGGATCCGCAGGGGGTGGCAGCCTGTCACCCGGCCGCTGGCCTGGGCCATCCAAAAGCCTAGACTGCTCCCGAGGCTACGGTGTCCAGCTGAAGAATGCCTGGACTTGAAATGCTGTCAACAATTAGACTAGGTCTGGACCAGGTGATACATGGGGAAGTGCTTATTCACACCGGGAAGAGAGCAAGGAGCTCAAGGCGACAGTGTATGCATGGGGAAGAGGCAGAAACGCAGGTGTCCAATAAACACCCCAGAAGAGGGACAGGAACGGCACATCTGTCACCCCCAGCACAGAGAACAATATTCTGGCGGGAGAGGGAAAAACCAGAAAAATCTATCACAGTTCTTAACGTTCTGAGAAGGAACAATCACAACATGTAGGCATTTAAAATACCCAATTTGGTATCAAAGAAAACACATTATATAAGCCAAAAAAGATGTGGTCTTGGGAAGAAAAACTCCCTTACGGTAAACCGAAAAGTAGCACCAAAGGTTACTGTATAGGAAAAAAGGAATCCTTAATGTAAACAATCGGAGAACGGGCTGTCCGGGGGCCAGTGACTGAGGAAGGACGTGAGGGCCAGTGGAGAGGGCTGCTGTCTGAGCACTCCCTGCACACAACTGCTCCGTAATCAGCGGGGTTACACGCTCGGGCTGCACATGTGCTGTGGACGTCACCAGAAAGGACTTGGGAAGTGAGAAAGCGGACCCCACCTCGATCAAGCAAACCATGATATGTCCGCTTAGCACCTCTGACCTGCCATACGGTGTAGTACTTGGTAGGTGAGTCATTCCGTGTCTGTGTCTGCCCTTGTGGATTTTAAATTCTAGCAGAGGTTTCTGTCTATCTGCCTGGCACAGGGGAGGAACTCAACAGGTCCTGCCGAGTGACAGCAACGACAGCTCATCCATCCTAATGTCAGGCTGAAACGTTACCCCCCTGGCCCAGTGAAAACGCCAGTGTCTGCCAATTACTGTTTACGGGAGCTGGAACCAAAGAGAAGACCCTGGAGGTGTCAGTTACAGAAAACAGCGGTCAGGAGCCTTAAACCAAAAGAAAGACCCCTGTTCACTGTGCAGAGTTGAGGGCGCACGTCTGTCCCACATTTACTTCTTTGTGAGTTCCCTGAAACTCCTACTCTTAAAATCTCGAATTTGTTTGCCTCTATAATCTGAAAACCACAAAGGAACATGGTTTTAATCATGTTCCCTCTCACCATGTATCTTGCTGGGCTGAGGCTTCAATTGTGTTCTTAAATTGTTTTTGTTTTTAACACCTGAAATTATGCCTCTCCAAGACCTTAAGAGTCTTTTCCTTGAAGTGTGACAAGCAGAATGTCTACATACGGACAGCATGCTACATATGGACATACCATGTACTTGATCAAAGGGTGGGGGGTAGGCTGCAAATTTTAAGAAAGGTCTGAGACAGTGGCGTCTGAACAAAGATCTGAAGGAAGAGAGAGCGCTAGTTACAAGGCTATCTTGGCCAAGAGCAATCTACATGTAAGAAATAGCTGGTGCAAAGGCCCCCAGCAGGTGCATGTCTGGTGCGTTCCAAAACAGCAAGGAGGCTGGTGGGGGCTGGAGTGGAACAGGAGTCGGCGTGAGTAGCAGGAGATGGGTGGCTCTTAGAGCTGTCAGCGGGCCTTACAATGTAGGACCCTGTAGACCTCTGTAAGGCCATTTGCTTTTGCTGAGAAAGGGAGAACCTTTGGAAAATGTTTGAGAAGTGCTGTTTTGATGCTAAGTGTGGGAATTATGATGGGGAGGCAACACTGGAAGCAGGGGATCAGCTGGGAGAACAGGGCCATACACCAGGTGAGAGGTGAGGATACTCACACCAGGGCAGTGGCTGTGAAGGTCCTGAGAAGTGGGTGAGGATTCTGTCATGGTTTGCAGGCAGAACAAAAGGATTTCCGGACAGAGGGGAAGACATGACTCAAAGGCAAAAAAGGTCTAAAGCAAACTAGAAAGACAAAGTTGCCATCATCTGAGATGGAGAAGAAAGCTAACGGAGCAGGTTTTGGAGGAATATGTGACACACTGAGTTGACGATGTCTACTGGAGACATACATCAGGCAGGATGTAGGTGTTGGGATCAGGAAGGTTTGAGCTGGACCCAAACAACCCTGGGCCTCTCTGGCATGTAAATGGGATCTCAAGTGATGAGAATACATGATTCAATTAAGGGAATGAGAGAAGGAAAAGATGGTTATGGACTGAAGCCTGGAGAACGCCACGATTAAGAGTCCAGAGAAAGGAAGAATCAGAGAGGCCAAGAAGGAAGAGGCCAGGAAGGCCAGGTTGGAGGAGACCAAGAGAGCACGGACACCTGGAAGCACAGGGAAGAAACGGTTTCAAGGGCAGGGAACACCTGCCCCTATCAAACATTGGCGATGGGTCAAGTCAGGTGACAGTTGGCCACTGTCTGCAGCAATGTGAACATCACTGGTGACCATCAGGGACTGAGGAGCATAGGTACAAATTTAAGCCAATCAAAACCTCCAGTTCCTGAGCGGGGAGCTATTTTGAGCTCATCCCTGCAGCCCCTGGAGGAAGCCATACCTGTGGATGTGGGAATACGGCCTTTGCCCTCCCTCTCCATCTCAATCACCCGAAGGCCTCTCTCAACATAGCTCTGGAAGAACTGGGAGGAATTTTTCAGAAATGGTTCAATGTCAGCATCTGAGTATTTCTTCTTATATTCGTATAACTCTGCTAGGCCCTGGTTACCAAGGAAAAGGAAGAGGGGGCGGACATTAGTCAGTGGCCCTTCTCCATCAAGCAGATGCCCATTTGGCTTGCCCCTGCCCCTCTCACCTCTTTAGTGTTCTCCTTAGACCCGATCTTCTTAAAAATCTCAGCCAAGAAATCATTCACTTTGGCCTTTGATGATTTTTCATCCTGCAATTGAAAGACACAAAGGACTGGCTAGACTTATTAATTAGGAACCCATGATTGGATAAGAACTGAAGAGGTCTCAAAACCCAGACTTTACTGGTATGTTCCTGTGAATAACAGAAGCACCAGTGTCTGCAGCAGAAAACCCCAACTTTCTGGGTCACCGAATACCTCCAGTCACAGGTTTTCAACTAAACTTGATGAGGAAGGACCTGGCCCATTCCTTCCTAATTAAGTAGAGCTCACAGTGGATTTATCCAACAACCTTTGGTTGTGTGGAAACCACACAGTTCTAACTAGTTCATATAAGAAAACTTCAAGATGGAAATGCTCACAGCATAGAACTATAGCAGGAGAGTGACCCAATCCCCAAGCCTTCACCTTCGACCCTCAGAAAGGTAGGCTCCAGCGCTCACGCCTTTGACAAGATCACCACCTTCAGTCTTTCCAGTCAGGACACTTACTATTCGAGATGCTCCCTTTTCTGTTTCCTTCTCAGACTTGCTCCCTGTCTGGTCCATGCTGTGCTTCATCATCCGGCAGAGGTGGGCCTCCAGCTCAGACTCGTTCTTGTTGTCAATCATTGTTAGGTGGTCTAGGATCTGAGGGAGACATGCACATTCAGATGGCGGCAATGCCACATCCATGATACTCTCCTCAAGCTCCTTCGGGGACCAGCTGCTGTTCTCACTTACCTTGGGTCCTTTTAATTTGCATAAAGTGTGTAGCAGCGTCTTTAGGGTCCTTATGGGAAATTCACTTTTGCATTGCTTCAGTTTCTCTTTGGGGAAGACCTTCATGAAAATGTGTATGTCCAGAAGAATTCTGTCCAGATTAATGCTGTTGATGGTATCAGGCAGGAGTCGAACCATTCTCCAGAGACACTATTGGAAAAAGAAATACAAGGTAGAAGGAGTGGCTGAAGAATGAAGATAATTCCTGCCACCTTTCACCTGCTCTAGGCTCTGGGGTCACTTCTGAAAGATGGTCAGGGAGGTTAAGTGTGGAACATCACCATGTCTTTTGAGTTCAGCTGTTAAAACATGAACAATTTCACTCACTTCAAGCACGTCACTGGTTAGTGTGTGACAAGCCATCCACGTCATCATCCCCACACCTTCTTCCCAACTCCCTGGAGATGGGTCTTAAATAGCGAGAAGATGTGGAGAACTGGGTGTGGGATCGAGAAGAGAATAGTTCATACAGCTTAACCAAATCTAACGCAAGGAGACAAACTATTACAGTGTAATAACAGGATTATAATGGGGCAGAAATGTTCATTTGGAGTCTTCCATCAAAAAGACCGAAATATTACAGGGCTATACAAACCTATTTCCCCAAAAGGTATAAAATTTGTCTCATCAAACTAATTGCCTTTTGTTTCTAGGACAATTGGTCTTTCCCTTTTCACTGTTTGAGGCCAAGAACTGTTGAGGCCTGAGCTTGGGGTGTAAACTGGAGACCAAGTATATTTTTCAGGTGTGGCCTGGTCAATTTAAGTCTATGTCCTACTTTCAACTCCCCTTTCCCCACACTTTAACCAGGTACTGCATCTTTGAAAGAAAAGAAATCAAATTATTTCCACTTTACCTTCATAACAAGCTCTGAGAATTTGGGAGAACTGGCTGTTGCTAGCAGGCTGTCTTGGAGCAAAACAAGTAGGGCACTAGAAAAAAAAATCCCAACATGATAACATTAATAAGTTTCAAACATGGGGCGCCTGGGTGGCTCAGTCGTTAAGCGTCTGCCTTCGGCTCAGGTCGTGATCCCGGGGTCCTGGGATCGAGTCCCGCATCTGGCTCCCTGCTCGGCGGGAAGCCTGCTTCTCCCACCCTCACTCCCCCCTGCTTGTGTTCCCTCTTGCTATCTCTCTGTCAAATAAAAAAAATCTTAAAAAAAAAAAAGTTTCAAACATGCATTCCAATTAAAGTTAGTAATTAAAAGGCCAAGTGTAAACTGTATCCATCTAATAAACTGAGAACTCATGGATCAGGACTGTCTCTGATTACCTGACATTCAGCTGTGAAGAAAATAAACGTCAATCCTTTAAGCTTCCTCAGTTACCACCTGATAAATGGTAAAGCTCCTCACTCTACTTTCATTGTCACTGGTAGCTGAGAGAGAAATGTGCCTGAAATGTACATGAAAGGGGGAGGTAACCAACAAACACTACATAGTCCTATTCTAGAAAACTCACAATGCTGGCTGGCTTACTGAGTCGTTACTAGTTTTTTTTTTTTAAGATTTTATTTATTTATTTGAGAGAGAGAGAATGAGAGACAGAGAGCATGAGAGGGAGGAGAGTCAGAGGGAGAAGCAGACTCCCTGCCGAGCAGGGAGCCCGATGCGGGACTCGATCCCGGGACTCCGGGATCATGACCTGAGCCGAAGGCAGTCGCTTAACCAACTGAGCCACCCAGGCACCCGAGTCGTTACTAGTTTTAATGCTGTCTCAGGTTGGAACACTTGGTTCATGAGGAAGAGAAGAGTAATAAATCAACATAACTAGGCAAACCTAAAGTTATAATTGGTCTAGTGACTTTGGTTTCCACGGGCAGACGAAAGAGAGGCTATTCCAGGCTCTGGAGTGAGATTATAGTTTTACCTCAGGATGTTGGTCTGGTCTGACTTCTCCAGCACCTTCACCACCAAGAGGTTCACAGAGCGGATCACCTGCTGTCCTTCCTCTAGATCTTCAATTCGAGAGTCTAGCATTAAGGTGATGAGGCCATGCATCAGGTCTTTCAGCACTCCGGTGGAGGCCTCCCGGGCGAGGCTCTCAATCTGAAACAGCTATCCAATCATCCTTGTGTTAGAGAGGTAAGAAACCCAGAGTATACAGCAAGGAAGATAAATGTGGGTGGCACATTCTAGCAAACAATTTTACTGTATTAAAAAAAATTCAGAGTATTAGGGGGAAAAAAAAATCACCAGACTCCCTCATACCTCTGGAAATAGCCAAATGAACCGCCAAAATTAACTGGAGTGCTTCCTTCCTTCCTGTTACCGAAGTACTTTTAGGGTGAGCAGTTATCTGTGACAACGCACCCAGGGCCTATCATGCCTGATGAAGACACGGGTAGGACGCAGAATTCTAGGTAGTATGTAAGCATTCTAGTTTGTATCCTAACAATAAGGCAAACTGGAGTGTCACCCAACATCCGATGAAAGTAGTCCACAGCTTGCAAGTAAAACCCAGTAAGTGACGCAGGACTCACTGGAACTACACTGACTCAGGCTCTAGAACCCAGGTAGGATGAGACACTGAAGGGAAGCTCACGTTCTACAGAAACAGCCTTACCGAAATCATGTTGCCAATGATACAGCTATACAGCTTGATGATCTCATCTTTCTCCAATTTCTCATCTGCCATATGTGTGTTGTAGATGAGTCTTAGTTGCATGAACGTGGCTATCAGAAACTGATCAATGTGGCCAGACATAGCTTCAGCTTTGTCTTCCTGTCTCAGGACCTCATCGATCTGGTAACAAAAACCCCAAGATATAGTCTCCAAGCATCATACTTTAAGTAGCAGGAAAATGCTACAAAGGATATCTCTGTAATATCTGCAAAGCACTTATAATATCTTACCTTGAAAAAAATCCAGTCACTTTACATATAAATAACTAGTATTCAAACATTCAGCACATGTTTACTGAGCAAGACACTGTTAGGTGAATTAGTCACAGATCCTATTCTGAAAGGTTCACTACCCAGAAGATCAGGGAATCCCTATGTTTAAATGTCTCATCTATTTTTTTTTTTTTAATTTTAAGATTTTTTATTTATTTATTTGAGAGAGAGAGAATGAGAGACAGAGGGCATGAGAGGGAGGAAGGTCAGAGGGAGAAGCAGACTCCCTGCCGAGCAGGGAGCCCGATGCGGGACTCGATCCTGGGACTCCGGGATCATGACCTGAGCCGAAGGCAGTCACTTAACCAACTGAGCCACCCAGGCGCCCTAAATGTCTCATCTATTAAAGTGTTTTAATACCCATTATATCTCATTTGATCATCCAACAGCTCTGAGAAGTAGTAAGTTAAGATTTCCATTTACCAGATAAGTCAAGTGAGGCTCAGAAAGATCAGACTACTCAGTCCAAACTCAAAACTCAGGCTTCTCACATCCTGATCTGGTGTTCTTTTTGGTCTACTGGCTGTCACTAATGGTAAAATGTACAACTATGGGAAAACATGTATTTCCCATTCACTACTGTAAAAAGACCTTTATTTTTATGATTACATAAATAACACCCAGACAAGCATGCCAATCTTCTTCATCGACCATCCTCATGCAGGGCTGTCCTACTGCACAATTCCAGGGAGCACCATTTACAGACTGCAGTGTGAACAGTGCCCCATGGTGTTCTGGAAGCCAGTGGTCCTACTTTCATTTAGATTTATGCATGTTATACCCCGTATGGACACACAATTTTATATAACTGGGGGTGTTTAACAATGCTGCTTCAACACAGACACCATAAAAAATACTCTTTTTTTAGGGGGAAGCTTACTCTTTTTCCTAAGATAATTAACATTAATGCCTGGTCAACATCTTTCAGGTTCACAGAATCATATACACCCATACATGCACACATAAATGGGGTCAAGGTTTAGGGCGTTGTTTATTCTACCAGAGGATTATAGTACATCCACATCTCTGCATCTGGCTTTTCTAGTTCAACAGAAAATTATGAAAATCCCCAAAGGCCACAAGAATAGCTCTATTAAAAAAAAAAAAGAATAGGGGTGCCTGGTGGCTCAGACATTAGGCGTCTGCCTTCGGCTGGGGTCATGATTCCAGGTCCTGGGATCGAGCCCCATGTTGGGCTCCCTGCTCGGCGGGAGGCCTGCTTCTCCCTCTCCCACTCCCCCTGCTTGTGTTTCCTCTCTCACTGTGTCTCTGTCAAATAAATAAATAAAATCTGAAAAAAAAAAAAAAAGAATAGCTCTATTTTTAAAGGCTGCTTAACTGTGTGTAGCAAAATTTACTCAATCATTCCCTTAGTGATAAACTTTCAGTGTGTTTCCAGTTTGGTTATTTTACTATAAATAATGTTACAATAAACATCTCTGTATATACAGTATCTTAACGTACTTGTGTTTTTATTTCTAACTTTTTAGCCTGAAGAATACATTTTAAATGGCATAATAGATATTACTGTATTGTTTTCTTTAAAAAGGCACTAACATTTTTTTTTAAAAGATTTTATTTGTTGGCGAGAGAGCAAGCGAGCGAGCACGCGCACAAAGAGGGGGAGCGGCAGGCAGAGGGAGAAGTAGGCTTCCCGCGGAGCAGGGAGCCCGATGCGGGGCTCAATCCCAGGACCCTGGGATCATGACCTGATTAGGCAAACGCCTAACCAACTGAGCCACCCAGGCATCCCAAAAGGCATTAACATTTTTTTTTTTTTTTTATTTGAGACAGAGAGAACGAGAGAGAGAGCACATGAGAGGGGGGAGGGTCAGAGGGAGAAGCAGGTTCCTCGCTGAGCAGGGAGCCCAATGCGGGACTCGATCCAGGGACTCCAGGATCATGACCTGAGCCGAAGGCAGTCGCTCAACCAACTGAGCCACCCAGGCGCCCCAAGGCATTAACATTTAATTCACATTTCTACATTTAATGTATGACTACTGTTTTTCCAGAATCTCTATCAGCTGTGTGTTATTACTTTTTACTTTTTGTCACTCTGATGGCAAAAAGTGCTATCTTGTTTTTACGTCAATTTGCATTTTGTGGCAGAGAGCCTGGACCTCTTTTCACATGTTTACTGGCTTGGCTGTTTGGAATCTTCTGTGATTTGCCTATTCACATCATTTGGTCATTTTTCTGTTGGGTTCTCCTTTTCTCAAGAGTTGATAAAAGTTCTGTTTCCGAAATGTAGCTATTAATCCTTTATTAGTCATATGGGTTGCAAATATATTCCACAATATACCACTTGTTTATTGACAATATATGGTAAATTTCTCTAGATTAAAATCTTGTGTTCTTTTTTTAAGATTTTATTTATTAAATAAATAAATAGAGAGAGAGGGAGAGAGCACAAGCAGGGGGAGTGGTAGGCAGAGGGAGAGGGAGAAGCAGGCTCCCCGCCGAGCAGGGAGCCCAATGTGGGGCTTGATCTCAGGATGCTGGGATCATGACCTGAGCAGAAAGCAGATACTCAACTGACTGAGCCACCCAGGCTCTAGATTAAAATCTTCTAGACTAAAATCTTAAAATTTTATATAATCAAATGTCTTGTTCTGTTCTGGGTTTCCTAATATTTTATGGTCTCCCCAAACCCCCTGGTAATATTTAAAAAAATTTAGGGGGAGATCAATTGTTTCAATTTCCACAGGGTTATAGGTCTTAATATTTTTCAGTCTCTTCCTTATCTATGGGTGGTTCCTTCCTCATTCCTGACACTTATATTTTTGTTCTCTAATCAGGCTAGTAAGGAATTTTTGTTTCACAGGAAACAAATTGAGATTTATTATTTTAAAAATCCATCTCATGAACTGTAGTTTATCTCCTACTTTTAAATTTATTTTTTTTCTAATTTCTGGTAAGTACTAAGTTCCTTTATTTTAGCTTTTCTTCAGTAATAAATGCATTTCAGGCAATATATTTTTCTGAGTTCAGTAGTTTCAGTAGAGTTTGAAAGAGAAATGCTTTCCTATTCACTATTAAGAGTTTTGGGGGGGCGCCTGGGTGGCTCAGTCAGTTAGGCCGCTGCCTTTGGCTTAGGTCATGATCCCAGGGTCCTGGGATCGAGTCCCACATCGGGCTCCTTGCTCGGCGGGGAGCCTGCTTCTCCCTCTGCCTGCCTCTCCCCCTGCTTGTGTTCTGTCTCTCTCTCTGACAAATAA